GACGGGGAGCGCCCCAGTGCCGGGCTGTAACGGGGCTGCTCGCACCCCCCGTGGATGCTCTGCAGGATGCTCGAGATAATTCCTCGTCCTCATGCCTGCCGGGAGCTGATCGGCTTTAACTGAGTCTGCTGAATCCCGAGGCAGCCGCTTCACCTTCAAGCCCGTGAGCGATGTTGAGGCAGCGAAGAAGATGGGCTGATTTCCAAAACTCTGCAGGACATCCTGAGCTTCCCATCCTGGCAGCCGGAGCAAGACCAGCCCGTTCTGAGCACTGAACCCAAAGGTGACGGAGGCCCAGAGAGGCGAAGCCATGGTGCGGTAGGCAATCCCGGGGGACTGAGACCACGGGGCACCATCTGTGTTTTAGGTGACAGTTTGGTGCCTGCCTGGACTAGGGTGACTTTGGGTCTACAGGGGTTTGTTGGGCTGTGTCAGGTCACCTAGGTCACCCTCTAGGGTGGCTGGGAGAGGAGGGTTGTGGTGGAGGGGCAGAACTGGGAGCAGGGCCTGGCTGGGCTTTAGTGGGGAGAACCATTTCCAGTCTGAAGCTGGGAGCTGCTCTTTGCATGAGGTGTACTGGCTGTGAGGATGTGGCCAGAGGTTGCAAGATGACCCCGTGGAAGTGGAGTTGTAAAATGCAAGTGAACAACCCACAAGTACCAGTCGGGGATAAATACAGATCTCTCTCCCTGAAGCACTCGCTCCAGAGGGTCCCCACATCCTGCCCAGCTTGCTGAAAATAAAACCACAGCCATATAGCCCCTTGAAGACCCCTAGGGCTCTGCCACAAACCTCTCCAGTCCCTACACCCCTACAGACAGGGGACGTGTGGGACCCCATGCCTGGCACATCTCTGGGCATCTCACCTGGGGCCAGGGTGGATGTGGGACCCTTCCCTCTGAATCTGCCCCTCTGCTGTCCCAGCACCACTGGGGGCATCACCGTCACCTCCTGAAATACAAACGCCACGGTCACCCACCCTGCACCCCATGTTGGGCAGTGGGGATGCTGCCTGGGTGGGATGCTTTTGGGAACAGGACAAGACTTGGGCTTCTACATCAAGGTGGGTGAGGGGAGGATCCAGCAGCGGGGGAGGGGCTGTTGTCCCTGCAGCAGTCCTGATCCCCACATGGGCTGTGAGAGCATCAAGGTGAAGGGGATGTTGCTGTCCTGGGCCCTGACCCCCAGGCCAACCCAATGCATCCAGGGCAGAGCTGGTGGTGCAACACGGGACAACCACAGCGATGGGGGGTCCTTGCCTTGCACCAGCAGCCAGAGCAGCTCCTCCCCACTGCACCCCTCTGCAGACCCTGCATCCCTCGGGAGGAGTGGGGTGGCTGCATCGTCTCCCAGGCTGGTGCACGGGTGTGGCCAGAAATGGTGTGCACAAAGCATGTGTGTGTGTGCTCCTCTGGAGCTCCACTGCAGAGGTCAGCAAGGTGTTTGCATGCCCTTTGCCTGCATGGGTGAACACCAGCGTGTAAACAGGGATGATCGCTCTGCACGTGTGGGTGCGCATCCTGCCCGTGCGCTCCTGCTGCCTGGTGGGGTGGGTGTTCCCTGGCCCTCCATGGTCTATGGGGTGCAGCTGTCTGTGGGGTGCAGCTGTCTCCATCCCCCCCATCGCAGACTCCTGGCAGTTGGACTTGTTGGGTGTGAGTGCGGGAGCACAGATGTCCATGCCCATGCCCAATGACCTGTGTGTGCTGGCAGCTCCGTGCTCTCTGCCCCAATGCCATGCTAAGTTTGTCCCTTGCTTGTCCCAGTGCCCGAGGAACTGTGAGGAGACAGCAGGTCTGTGTAGGGCAAAAGGCAGGAAGGGCAGCCCCAGAGGGTTTGCATCTTGGCTGCATCCTCAGGGACCCCTTGAGCTCAAAGCCACCCAGACAGGAGGGTGCCCACCACACTGAAAGGGCAGGTACAGTCCCTGTCTCAGCCTTGTTGAGGAAGGAATCTCCTGCATTGTCTAACAGGCTTCAGGAAAAAAAGTCTCCCTGTTTACTCTGGTCCCTGCTGAGGGCAAGTTTATGCAACCACCTTGTTAAGTACTGCACTGCTGGTCATCTTGGGAAGATTTCTCAGTCAGAAGACAGAGGATGGGAGGGAAGGGCAGTGCTGGGGCTTGTTTGTCTGAGAGGGGGCTGTCTCTATAGCTAAGTTCTTTCATAGGACAGGGAAACATTTCCTCTGTCCCTCCTCAGGCCTGACATATATTCCAGTCCAAGTCTGCAGAGGCTGCTGGCACCCTGGGATCTTCTTATGAGACACAGATGGTGATAGCCCTCATCTCCAGGATAAGAATTCTCTGCTGCTGGCCAGGCCCAGCACTTTGCCCTGGAGCTTGGGCTCTGTGATCTTCCAGCTCCTGGATAAAAGGTGGCAATGATGGGGTCTCCCATGGGCCACCAGTGAAGATGTTTTCAGGGTGGATTTCTGGCACCCAGTTGCACACACGTCCCTGCACACATACAGGCATGCACAGACATGCACCTCCAGCTCGGTGACCGGCAGTGTCACTGCACATACCAAGGGTGGCCCGGTTACCGCCATGAGCTGGGCTGGGGGCAGGGGGCTCTCTGGGGCAGCGAGGAGGAGCCAGAGGGGGAGAGGGCATCTGGGACATGGGGTCCATGGTGGCTGGCGGGGATGCAGTGGGAGCCGCTGCGGCACAGAGGAGTGGGGGCAGAAGAGGAAGGAAGCTGCAGTGTCTCTGCACAGAGCCCAGGCAATAACAAACAGGAAGAGCAGCAGGGCACAGGCAGGAAGGATGTGCAGTGTCCCCAGGGCAGACCTGTCCTACCTGAGCCTCCAGGGGCCTGTCTCCCCAAATATACCCCCTTCCTGCTCTGCAGGGAAGGGAAAGTGTGAGTGTCTTCCCCCGAGTTGCCCAGGGATGATTCAGGGGGCAGAGGGGTGGTGGGTGGCACCCACAGGGGCATGGGGTAGGGGGACAGTGGGGTGGCATGAGGACCACACTGTGCACGGTTGGGCACGGAGGTGCTGAGCCCTGGCTCACCCCGCAGCGTGATGGCAAATGGCTGGGCACAGCATGGGCAAGGGGCTATGGCCAGGGTGGCAGAACCCATCCTGGCTCCCTGTGGGGCTGGTGCGGTCTGGGTTCCCAAAGCAGCACCACCACACCATGAGGAGTACCCTACCTCGATCCTCCTGCCCCATGGCCAGATCTCGCC